ATTATTATTATTATTATTATTATTATTATTATTAAATCCATGGGTTTACCATAATAGCACAGGCACAAACACACATAGAGAGAAATTATAATTCTAGCAGTACATTGTGGTCACTTATTCTCATGAGTGTGCCATACTATTTCCAAGAACCTGATCAGAGTTTGAACATGTTAGTATCAGCCTTCATTAACATTAAATATTTAAAGAAAATTACTTAAAACATGAAAACATCTAGAAATGCTTAAAAATTTAGAAACAGAATACATTGGCATGCCATAGCATAGCATAGAGCAATGTAGTGTAGCGTAGCATAGTTCTCTTGTCTGGACTTCCAAAATTGTTCACATGGGTGGTTGAGGTAGTGATACCTTTACTTTCTAATAATCCAACTTACATAAATTTTGTTTCATCTGCAATATTATTTAAAGTTGTCTTCAGGTTTTGTGTATAATATGAATAAATGAAAATTAATATTGAGTTTAGACTTGGTTCTCACTATGTATTCCTTAATCTTAAAAAAAAACCACACAGAACACCTTTAGTTCCAAGCATTTTGGATAAGGTATACTCAACCCATATTATTTTTTACGTGTCACTAGTTATAAATATTGTGCAGAAGAAATATTCACTTGGGATTTTTTTTAATTATGATGATTTAGAAGTAGCTATCCGCCAACATTTGGGAAGAACAGAGTCATGTTTTAACATTTAGGTAGAAGAGTTTAACTACAGTAATGCTGTAGGACTGGTGCCACATGCCTGCCATCTGCCATGCTTGGCTTCAGCCTTCCATCACATGAACAAGCTCCTTCCTTTAAATTTAGATATATGTAGGTAGTATTTGGTACAGATTAAATTCATTTCTTAAAAAAAAAACAATTTAGTTACATAAGACTGGTTTCAAAGAAAGAAAATGTTGAATGCTCAAGCTTCTCACCACATGATTTGGATTCATCTCATCCACATGTTAATGCTGTTGTCTTCTCATGGATACTTCCCCTTTTGTGTTAACAATTATTTCAGTATCCAAGTCATCCCTATTGTTTCCTCCTGGCTTCAATAAGTCTTGGGCACAGATGTTCCAACAGAATGCTGCCTATTATGATGCCGGTCTGATGTCACAAGGAGGTCCATAGCTGCACTCATGAAACTGCCCAGTTTGCTCTATACTGAGAAGAGTGGAGGGAAAACTGGCCATTGGACAGAATGAAAACAACTTCCTTAGTTTTATGCTTGCTAGCTGCACATCATACACTATAAAATTTAATTTAGAAGTGAAGTCTTGCCAGAACCTGTCATTTGAAAACCTGCTTTGCTATCCGATGTCAAGCTTTAAAGTCAAAAACTGGTTATCTGATAAAACTCAAAATACTATGGTATCCAATTAAAGAGTTCTTCTACTCAGTTCAGCAGAGCAAGGCTCAAAAGCTCATAAATTGATAATTTATGAGTCCATGATTTTCACTTTGAAATTCAAATACAGATTATGAAGCTGGATACTGGATTTGAAACCTCAGCCCTGTTCTTATTTTCTCGATTTAAAAGGGGGGATTGATTTCCTTCATAGCTGACAGTAGTATGCCCTGTCCCATTTTTAAGTAATTAAAGTTCAGGACAACATTAGGCTTTTAAATAAGTCCTGAATGTTTATTAGATATGAAAGGATGGGAACGGATCAGAAGAAACAATCAGCAAAGAAAAATGACCAAGCAAGCAAGATATGCTGAAGAATACACAATGAAGACAAAATAATAACTTTTGAAGGAAGGTTTTGATGGAGTTTTTAATTTATAGCTTGAAATATTTAAACAAAATAAAAAAATTGACTAGTGTAGACCAGAATCTGAAGCCCTGTTATGAACAAATGATAAAATGTATGTTTATTTTAAAATTTGAGATTTAATATGAACAAGTAAATAATTGTATGATAAACTTTATCATAAACTTTGAGTGGCACTGATCTAATATATGTTGGGTAAAAGGAATTCACATGGAAACCCCCTCTCCTGTTAGGTTCATTGCCCCCTCATGCTCTTTGCATGTTTTCTTGCCTTTCAAACATTACAGTTAAGGAAGAAACTTAGATGGATGGATCTGTTACCCTTCAATGACAAAACTAAAGCAGAACTTATGACGAGAATAAAATTTCCAGTATATTTTTGCTTGGCTTCTTTGTGCGCATCTTGATTTCAGCTTCTGGTTTTTCCGTCAAATCAGTTTGGGGTCTTATTAATGCACATCCACAACTGGCACTTCATGACTGCCAGCATGAGACTACAATCCAAAATGCTGCACCAACTGATGTTAAGCAGTTAGCACAACAGAAGGACACAATAAAGTGTGATACAACAGGACAGATACTGTGACTGAGGAGAAGAGGAACAGAATAAATTCATCTGCAGTCATACCAAATGTATTCTGGTGAGAACTGATAGTGCAAATAATTAGACATCTTGATTTTTTTTCTTCCACAAAGTGAAAAAAAAAACATCAAGATATGGGGAGGGAAATAACATACCATACAAAAAAGGAACAGGAAACAAAGGCAGTGAATTTTATTTGAACCTTGTTAAATGGAATCTATCATTGCCATCTGCTGGCTGCATGTATGTTACTTTGTTCCTATTGATCATATTCTTTATTTCTTATAGAAATTCAAATTATTTCAGTAGATTGGAACATCATCATCAGCGATCACTTGTGTCTGAGTAGAATGGCCTTCCAAGCATATGGATTTGCCGGTAAATCTGTAGGTGACTGTGGAGACCTATTCTTTACCCTCATGTTCTTCCACAATGAGGATATCAGTTTCCAGATGGAAGGCGATCCCAGTCAGGATTGACTTGATGTGTCTTCCTCTAGACACATTTATCCTTTTTACCCTCCATTCACGCCTCTTCGAATTCCACAGCACTGTTGGCAACAGATGACTTCCAGTTAGAGCAATCAAGTTACCAGTTCTCAGTATCTATGCCAGAGTTTTTAAGGATGGCTTTAAGCCCATCTTTAAATCTCCTTTCCTGTCCACCAACCTTCCATTTTCTGTTCTTCAGTTGGGAGTAGAATAACTGCTTTGCGAGATGGTGATAAGGCATTTGGACAACATGGCCAGTGCATTGGAGTTGATGGCATAGGATCATCATTTCAGTGCTGGTGGTCTTTGTTTCTTCTGGCATGCTGACATTTGTCAAACTATCATCCCAAGAAATTTGCAGGTTTTTTTCAGAGGCAACACTGATGGAATCGTTCCAGGAGTTGAGTGTGACATCTGTAAATGGCTCACATTTTGCAGGTATGTAACAGGGTTGGGAGGACAGTAGTTTTATAAACAAGCATCTTGGTATCCCCATGAATGTCTTGATCCTCGGACACTCTCTGCTATATTCGGAAGACTGCTGCACTCACAAAGCTCAGATAGTGTTGTATTTGAGTGTTGATGTTGATTCTTGTGGAGAAGTAGCTGCCAAGGTAGTGGAAATGGTCAACATTTTCTATTGTTCTGCCATTAAACTGTATTCCTGGCACTGCAGAAGGATTGACTGGTGCCTGTTGAAAGATCATTTTGGTTTCCTTGATGTTCAGTGAGATGTCCAGCCTTTTGTATGCTTCTGCAAAGGCATTTAGAGTGGCTTGTGGGTCTTCTTCTTATTGAGCACAGACCACATTATCAGCAGCATACTGGAGTTCTATAACAGATGTTGTTGTGACCTTGGTTTTGGCTTTCAGTCTGCTGAGGTTAAATAGATGTCTGATAGATGATTTCCATGCTGGCGGGAAGCTTTCCATCAACAAGGTGCAGATTGGATATATGAGAAAGAAGAGCCTCAAAAAAAAAACCAAGCAGTTTCATATGGAATTTATATTGGATATATGGAATTGACACTACTGTTCATTCTAAATAATGGGAGAGTTGCTTAATCAATCTTCATCACATACCACTTGTACACATTGTTGCAACTGAAGAAAACAAGCAGTAGTATGTTAAAGTTTTTCTTTCTACGTTGGAGGGCATTCATAATAACAATGAGCCACAAAGAGAGTTCCTACCTAAGGTGAAATTTTCTAAAACAGATGGCAATGAACATAAACTTGCTTGTATGTATTTAGAGAAAGATAAGAATATGTCATTATTCAACTATTTCACCAATGAATCCTGAAAGAGGGGAGGGACAGGTGCTGAATCCACCAGAACTAGGTAAAGGGGCTGCCCTTTCCAAAAATGATCTGGCAAAATTGAACCAGTAAACTTCTAGGTAATGAAGTCTTCTTAAGAATTTGCTATCAGAAGTATACTAAATGAGCAACACTATGAAATATGAAGACAGCAATTGTCATTTAACCCTCCTAGGAATAATAAAAGTTTCCTGCAATCTGTCCTATGACACTTACTTGGGAGTATGTGAACTGGAACACAGGGATGGCACTTCCATGTATACATTGTGCAGGTAATGACCAATTGGTTTTCATGAGGAACACCCCCCAGGTGGGTCCACCCCCCAGGTGGGTCTTCACATATATGCTCTAGAATCTGATTACATGTTTGGATCCATGAAATCTTGTTTAGAAAGATAGCTAAAATTTGGGTGACAAAAATACCCCTGCTGTCCTAGGCAATAATGAATCAGTAATTCCAAAATAAAACTTCATTTGGTGCTGTGTGGCTGTTTCCATCCACAAGACTTATCTCTTACCTATCTTCCTGGTGTTTGTACTTTGAATGAAGTTCCAGAGGTTGCCTATGCCAAGAGCACCTTTGTCGAAGCTAGAAACTACCTTCTACTATTGAAACCACACATTCAGTTTTGCTGAACAGGATGCCAGCCAACGTTGCAAGATTTTTGCTGAGTATGCTTATTGAAGTACCCAGATAGATTTTTTTTGTAAACTATCCTGTTCAATTTGTATACACTGGATTATAAACATCATTGAGGGTGGAAGGGAGAAGCATTCAGAAAAGATTAACCTTGGAGTACACTAAAACATGGTTTCACAAGCCCATATTGAAACACAGATGTTTGTTTATTTACTCAAAGAAAACAGAGGATTTTTCCCAGCCCTCATTTTTTTTAAAATTTCATTTAAATTTGTGAACATATGAGTCCACAATGTAAAAGAAAAGGTTTTGTGTATTTAGGTTTCTCCAAAACACTCATTTCAATAGGCTTTTTAACATTGATTTTCACCAACAGTATCACAAAAGTTGTCTTTTTAAAAAAACGTAACTGTAAGCAACAGTAATTCTAGAAACACTAAAGGGAAAAAAGCATAGCAATGTCCACAGTTACAAGAAAAAGTGCACATTACTTTGTCACAATCACAGTCATTACTTGAAAAACTATATGTAACAAGTAGATAGAAAATATCACCAATGCCTTAAACTCATTGTCAAAAACCAAAGTACATAAAAATTGTACACAAAATAAGGCAAATTCAGGAATGCACAAGGAACTTGTTATTTAACAAAAGCTAACCAACATAACAGGTATTACAATAAGCATGAACTAAAATACTTTTCTCTCTAATTACACAAAAATAAGTTTTCCTTAGCGCACAACAAAAACACAATTGATGCATAATTCACATCATAAAATAAGAAATGGAAGTAAGGGAAGTCAGGAGAAGGGGTTTTTGTTTTAAGTGGCAGCTGCATCCTTTACATGTTTTTTTAAAACAGTTCAGTATTAGCATTTAAAAAATCACACCAGAAGTGTCAATGGCCCTTTTCAGTTATATATTCATTTAAAAATCAAAACAAAAAAGAAATAAATACACACAAGAGTGCAAATTTTCCGATTGTCACTTGCAACCTCTTCACATTCAATCATCTACATCCATTCACTACTAGAAGGACTTGTACAAGACAGCAGCAGCAATCCTGGAGTTCAGTGAGCTAGCTTGTAGGAAACCGCTTAAAAATTAATGATATGTCTTTTAAAAATAGTGCTTATGTGTTTACCAATTGGTAATAAAACTGAAACTCATGAAATCAAAGTGAAAATGACATGAGTGTCTACTTCCTTTGGAAGTCATCTCACAGATATTTGTGGAGTGCTCCACCAGGGAATGGGGCTGACCATCAAAAAAAGTACTAATTGCAAAATAAATGTGGATTGGAAAGAGATTTCAAAAAAGAGGATGTACAATAACTCCTCAAAACATTATTTGAAAAATCAGTGAAAAAATTAGCAAAGTAAAAATGATCAATTTAGAATGAAAACATTTTTGTCTTGTTTTTTTTCTATAAAAATTACATTTTCTTTAAAATACAAGATCCTTTTCATTGCAATTGCATCCTGTTAACAACAGGGCATTTGGCAAGACCTTGCCATTTAATGCAGCTTAGAGTTCACTGAGTCAATAGCACATTCCACTAATATTGCACTTGGATTTTGGACTGATTTAAAAACCCCAGGTATCTTCTGTTTCTGTCCATGTTAGAGCGAGTTAACATTTCTAGCCACTTTTTGTTATTGATGCTGAAACACTAGAACAAATGCACATTAAGCAATAGGCTGGATATAGTAAGGTACCTCAGACATTCTGGAGGTTCAAGTTCACTTGAAGAACCCTAACACACCAAGAACAGCAAGAACAGTGTGGCATTATGGTAATTAACTCGTCAACAAGACTGTGCGGTAATGAAAAGATTTGCTCTGGGAAATCAAAATGTCATTAGTGGAAATTATATGATATAACTAGGTCAGCAGGATCATCACATGTCTCAGTTCTGCTGCAAAATAAGGTTTTCTAGTTCATCTGCTGAACGCAATAAAAAAGCAGCTGATTCTCGGTATCCTGCAACCAGTTGCCGTACAGCATTAATTTCAGTTGGATTCAACTGAGGTCTAGAGCTGGTACTGCTAGAAGATCCCGAAGTGGTTGCTAGCTGTCTCTTCATACTGAGATCAGTTGGACCTGGAAATGACAAACAAAATGTATCAGTGCTCTTATTGAACCCAGTTCAAGAGTAGGCCAAACTCACTGGCAAAGAATGACTACAGAAGAGCCTTTTAATTAACCAGCACTTCATCAGTTATATATATATTTTTCATTGAGCTTTTACATTCATATCATGCTAGCTTCATTTTTGTGGTGCTCTTGGCACAACCTTATGCTGCTGTACCATCTTGTTGTTCATTCGTTCAGTCGTCTCCGACTCTTCGTGACCTCATGGACCAGCCCACGCCAGAGCTC